TGTTGAAACTGATCAGTTTCAGCAGCGGCTGAATCTGGATGCCAGTTCCGACTTACATACAGATTCAACTTAAGAACAAACCTACAGTCCCTATCTTGTACGTAACCCGGGGACTGCCTGTACCAAATTCGTTAAACAGCTTCCTCTTACCATAACTTAAAGCAAGGTAAGGGTTTGTTTTTCAGGAAAATGGGATGTGCCTGGAATGGGATTGCTTCTCAGAAAACCATACAGAAAAGAGACAGAATCACCAGGTATGTGAAAAGAGCTTGGGGAGGGAGGGTGCCCCCTCTCTAGGACTGCCCTAGCTCTGAGCCTCCCACCATCCCTTTAGGGAAGGGAGAGGATGGAGATGAAGGCCCCCCCATTTGTATGGGCAGATTGTTGGCTGTTTCCCTTCATCAGAGAGTAATGCACAGTTAGTGGCATTCCTCACTCCGGCTCGTGGGGACATACACCATTCTCCCCTCTGTGTCCTCTGAAGCTGCAACGGCCATAGAGAGGTGCTGTGGTAAGACAGTATTGGAGCAGTTCCCTGGGGCATATGCATACTAAACCCCTCATCTCCAGCCCCATCTCAAACCAATGATTTAAATTAAGCATGTACATTTTCATTTTATATTCCCCAAAAAACAAAAATTAACTGAGTTAAGGACTCAAGCAATGCTGGGTAAATTTTCTAATATGATATCAGATATGATTTTGTAGAATTCTGAAGTGTATCCATTATGACTTGGCACTTCTCAAATGAAAGCTCCCTGATTACTTCCTTCAAATTCTCACGTGATACAGGAACACTGAGATTCGCATAATTATTAGGATCAAATCTATGTAGCTGAGGCCTTTAAGAGTTGTTAAAATAGTACATACTCAAAATTGACAATCGGGCTAGAGTACTTTAGAATCATAGAACACTAGAACTGGAAGGGACCTCGAGAGATAATCGAGTCCAGTCCCCTGCCCTCATGGCAGGACCCAGTATTGTCTAGACCATCCCTGAGGGTATGTCTACACTAGCCCCCTAGTTCGAACTAGGGAGGCTAATGTAGGCATTTGAAGTTGCAAATGAAGCCCGGGATTTAAATACATCATTCCACAAAGAGTAACAGTTAATTTGAGCTAAGGACTTAGTTCAAGTTAATGTTTGACTGCCACGTGTATCCGCGGGCAGTTAGTTCGGACTAGTGGGATTTAAAAATGGCGCCCAGACGGGAAGATGCAAATAAAGCTCGGAATATTTAAATCCCAGGCGTCATTTGCAACTTTGAATGCCTACATTAGCCTCCCTAGACATAGTGTAGATATTCCTTGGATAGATGTCTATCTACCTTGCTCGTAAACATCTCCAGAGATGGAAATTCCACAACCTCCCTAGGCAATTTATTCCAGTGTTTCACCACCCTGACAGGTAAGAAGTTTTTCCTAATGTCCAACCTAAACCTCCTTTGCTGCAGTTTAAGCCCATTGCTTCTTGTCCTATCGTCAGAGGCCAAGGAGAATAATTTGTCTCCCTCCTCCTTGTGACACCCTTTTAGATGCCTGAAAACTGCTATCATGTCCCGTGTCAGTCTTCTCCCTTCCAAACTAAACAAGTCTGACTCTTTAAGTCTTCCTTCATAGGTCATGTTCTGGACTCTTTAAGTCTTCTTTCATAGGTCATGTTCTCTAGACCTTTAATCATTCTTGTTGCTCTTCTCGGGACCTTCTCCAATTTCGCCACATCTTTCTTGAAATGTGGTGCCCAGTAGTAGACACAATACTCCAACTGAGGCCTAATTAGTGCAGAATAAAGCGGAAGAATGACTGCTCGTGACTCACAGCATTCCTGTTAATGCATTCCAGAATCATGTTTGCTTTTTTTGCAATAGCGTCACATTGTTGGCTCATATTTAGCTTGTGGTCCACTATGATCCCTAGATCCCTTTCTGCATTACTCCTTCCTAGACAGTCACTTCCCATTCTGTATGTGTGAATCTGAATGTCCCTTCCTAAGTGGAGTACTTTGCGTTTGTCCTTATTAAACTTCATCCTATTTACCTCAGACCAGTTCTCCAGTTTGTCCAGATCATTTTGAATTATGACACTATCCTCCAAAGCAGTTGCAACCCCTCCCCGCTTGGTATCATCTTCAAACTTAATAAGAGTATTTTCTATGCCAATATCTAAATTGTGGATGAAGATATTGAACAGAACCGGTCCCAAAACAGACCCCTACTGAATCCTACTTGTTATGCCTTTGCAGCAGAATTGTGAACCATTAATAACTACTCTCTGAGAACGGTTATCCAGCCACTTATGCACCCACCTTATAGTAGCCCCATCTAAGTTATATTTTCCTAATTTATTGATAAGAAGGTCATGTGAGACCATATCAAATGCCTTACTAAAGTCAAGGTATACCACGTCCACTGCTTCTCCCTTATCCACAAGACTCGTTATCCTATCAAAGAAAGCTATCAGAAAATCAGAAACCTTCTAAAATTGAAGAGGATTTTCATATGCTGGGTTTTAAGGATTGTTTCAATTTTAGCTTTAATTAATGAAATACCGTGTGCATTCTTCATTTGCTTTTAATGACAGATTAAGTCTTACATTGTTCTTCCCAGATCTTTGTTGTTTAGGGTGAAATAAAGCATATTCTACTATTTCATTATGTATAAACTCTTGTGTGCTACTATGTCAAAATCTTATTTTCTAGGATTTTGTATTTTTTAATTTGTGAGAAGGTGAATCATAGCAAAGCATGTGACTATAAATGAAATTTCAAAAGAAGGCAGCAATGTGGAGTGGCAGGGGGCTCCTCGGGAGTGCCAGCTGGAGAGCACTCCGCTCCCAGGGACTATAGAATATTCGAGTAACCAATAAAAATTCATGAGGTTAATCGACTATTCAATTAACCGATATTTAACATCCCTAATGTGAAGTGAGGTGTGTGCTGACATCCTACAACATTGTGAAAGCCGTGTGCTCCCTCTGCATCTAATCAAAATGCTGCTATGGTTCAATCAGCACACCACAAAAATTCTAGGTACACAAGCACAGTTAGCAAATCTTGGAGACCATCTTGGTTATGACAACTTGTGGCCCACTGACATGAAGGAAGGCCACTCATGTGGCCCACTCATTAGCCTAGGTTGCTTCTCACTGGGAACCAGTAACAATCACCATTGTTGGATGAAAGTGTGGAAGAAATTGATTTTCCAATATATCCATTAAATGCTGGGAATTAAAACATCTATATACCAGAGGTTGGAGGAAAAGACCATTTATTAACTTATATTTTAATGCATAAATAAACTGGTGCTATGAGTGAACAGGGAAAAGTTGCTACTTTGTGTATTAATACATTTAATTTAGCACTGTCACATAATCAGCTACACCTTCTTTAAGGCAGCAATGGTACTAGCTTGGCTACTCATTCCTAAACATGAAAATCTTTTTAGGGTTAAAAGCAAAAAAGATGAGAGAGTTGGCACCAACATTCTGCTATTCACAACTACTCTAATCTAAAGTCTCGGTTAATGAGGCTCAGACAAATCATGCCAGACTATAAAGTTAAACATAAATACATATGAAACCCAGCTATACTAAAGAAAACTTTGTTTTGGTAAAAGGTTTCTAAGAGCTTTTAACCTTTTAATTACTCATTTGATAGGACTTCTTTTATTTCAAGGGTTTGCAAAAGTAATTCCTATTGTAAATCACCAACCAAGGCAAGAATTCCCTTATGAACAGAAAATTACTACACTGTATGAAACAAGAAACTGCATCTCTGATGCACACCTTTATCTGTCAGGCACAACCCAATTGGAACAAACAAAAGAATCATGGTTTTCTTTTCCTCAAAGAACTCACTTTTGCCAATGATCTTCTTTCAGCTGATAGTAGCTTTTTCTATACAAGCCCTTATCACTCCATCTTCTGTCTGCTACACAGCTGTTTAAAGTTCCTACTGGCCTCTGTCATTCTTTTTTTATTTTAATTCTGTCACCAGATACCAGTCTTTTACACAGACAACATAACCCTATGCTTTTCTTCTTCAGCTTCTTCCTCTCCACCCCTCGGGGACAGACATTCTCAACAAAGAAAGACTGATATTGTCATTTTATTTAGAAACTGTGCTGGATATTCCACAGCCTTTCTTAAAGCAACAACAACAACAACAACAAAAAACCCTGTTTTGCTTGCCTTATCACATTTTAGATCAGAATACCTATAGAATAATGAGATTTAGCAAGATATTATTTTTTATGTTTAGAAGAGAGAAAAACCAAATGAAGATTTTAGACCAGAGTTTTCTCATGACTTTGACAAAGATCAAAGGAAAGAAGAATAACCTCAAAAGCATACGCTTGAAATATTTTCTTTTGTCTCTGGTCAAAAAAGAAAAAGGCCACTGAATGAAACAACAATTATTAGATAACCAATTCACAAAATTACTTTACACCAGAGTCTGTAATAACCTTTTTGAAAATATGGAAGCCAACTGTTGTTGAAGAGAGGGATCTCTGATGTTTAATTGAAGAATATGGGACTGTAGTTGAAAATGAACTCAAAGGGAGCTGGGACATTTTTTTTTATCAAATATACTATTTAATAACATTATCTTATAAATTAGTTATATGTTTACACCATAATATAGGGTAGTATATCAAGTGTACTTACAGAGACTGAAGACTGCGCAAGTTCTGTAGTGCTTCATTGGGAACCTGCTTTAATTCATTGTTCTGCAGCATTCTTCATTAAAATCCAGAAACAATGTAAAAAAAAAAAGATTTTACTTTACAGTCTTTAGTGCTCTCCTCTACCCATGAAAATCCAGATATGGAATTGTATAGGTATTATGGGGAGCAGGTTTTTTACCTTATCAAATTAAATTTACACAGATATCTAAAAATTGCTAACCTACATTTAAAACTCACACTTTGCGTTTTTTTCATTACTGCATTTATCCTCTCAAGGTGAGCAAATACTTTCAGCATGAAGTAATTGTACTAACAGAAACATGCTAACTGTTGAATTTTCAAAAGCATCTGAGATAGTTCAGAGTACACATCTCACGGGCTTTCAGTGGGACTTGTTCTCCTAACTCTTTTCAGGTGCTAATGAGCATGGCTCCCCCCCAAAAGTCTCCTTCCCATTTGTTACTCAGGCAAAACTTCAAAGGCAATGGACCACCTTCTGATATTCTTATTCACGAGAACAGCTATTACATCTAATTGGAAATTTTCTCAGTAAAATTTGGCCCATGTAGAGTTTTGCTTGAGTAAAAATGATAGAATGTAGCCTAGTGAGATTAGTTTTTTCAAGTCTACAGAGGCAGTTCCTCTTTTTGGCACAAAATAGGGCAGTGACCTGAAAAATAACCCATTCTCTATATCTGTAACATTCTTGCGCTGCCTTTTTTTTTCAGGAGCTGAAACTCACTTTTCATTTTTTTTCAGTTTGATATAACATTTTGGACTAGGAGGAGAACTGATGAGCTTCCAGAAAAACCCAAGAAGTGCCAAAGCCAGAGGTCTATTCTTGGATAAACTCCCAGGCTGTGTCTAGACTACATCCCTCTTTCGACAGAGCGATGTAAATTAGACACGTCAAAATTGTAAATGAAGCGGGGATTTAAATATCCTGCGCTTCATTTGCATAATTGCATCATGGTGGTCTTTCAAAAAAGCGCCATTTTTAAAGTAAAACCGAGGTCTAGATGCGGTTCTTTTGAAAACAGCAGGCTTTTTCGAAAGATCCTGTACTCATCAAAATATGAGGTTTTACAGGATCATTCAAAAAAGCCTGCCGTTTTCAAAAGAACTACATCTAGACCACAGTTTTACTTTCGAAATGGCGCTTTTTCAAAAGAGCGCTATGACGCAATTATGCAAATGAAGTGTGGGATATTTAAATCCTTGCTTCATTTGCAATTTTGACGTGTCTAATTTACATCCCTCTATCGAAAGAGGGATGTAGTCTAGACACAGCCCCATTGTGCAAAAGGGCTTTGAGTAAAATTGGATCTGCCAACCACTAATGGACAGCATGGAGGGGATTGTGATCACTTGAAGAGGGTGCAGCTACCAGCTCTCATCTTTGTCCAGCCAGAAGTTAAGATAGTCATTGCAGAAGGGATACTCTAATTTTGACCTTGCTCTACCTTAGTCCCAATTAGAGGAGATATTTCTGACATTAACGCCATAAGGTAGCAGCCCCAGAGCTTCCTGTGCCAAACACTGCAATTGTGCCAACAACCGGGTGGACAGGAGAGAGAGAGTCCTTCTTATCTTCTCCCATTTACACATCTTGCAATGGCTGGGCATAATTTTGAAGGGAACTGGATCTCTGGCTATGGCTGATAATGAATAGAAGGCTGGCATTTTATTCAACAAGGGGCAAATGTTTGTTGTCCTTACCTACAAAAATCTTCCCTGAAGTAAAGTCAAATAAACAGTGTGGGATTTGGCCCATAATCCTATTTTTACAGCTTTTATTATGTACTGTATTATACTTCTCAAGTGTACAAGTTTTTAATCAAAAGTAAGCATAAGAAAGGCAGAGGATATCCATTAACTTTTATAGACCCGAGCTTATCCCATTTCAATTATATCCATGAAGATACAAAATTTAGATATGAATTGAGAGCTGTATTTAAATTATGCCTTGTTTACTGTTATTAATTTATCCATCTTGCCCCTCAAAAAGCAAAAAGAAAAGTTAACCTCAATGTTATGAAACCATTAAAAACACCTCTAAAGCTTTTAGACTTGAATTCAGAACTTTTTTGGACAGTTAAAGAAATTATTAACTGGAATAATTTTTGTCTTTGATCTTTTATAGTGACATTTAGTTGATGAGCAAGTTTGTGTTTAGGACATTTTCCATATAATAAAACAAAGATATACAAATGTTAATATGTATCTTAATTCCATCTGAATAGCTTACAATGAACTGATCAAAATATGCAATTTACTTGATCAAATCTTTACATGTTAATTAGTTCCCTAGGGCATTTAGGAAATCAGAAATATATCAAACAACACACAGTTTACTTACAGCACTTTAAGACTGAAAAGGCCGGCAAATGCTCCCTTGGGAATGTATGTCAAGCCATTTCCTGCAAGTCGTCTGCAGGGTTTAAAAAAAAAAAAAAAAGAATAAATACATTTCTCTTCATGTGGAATTAATTTGGTTGTTAAAAAGCAACATGAGTATGTTTGAACCTCTGATGCCAAAGGCAGTTGTTTAGGAGCCTTGTTTTGTCATCATTAATATACTGTTAAGAAGTCCTGTAACCGTGTAGTCAATTTACTGGCAGCTGGGCTGCAGAGACAAATGCACTTTCACTATAAATCAAGTTTATGGTTTACAGTGCACATCTAATTGTTCATACTGTTCTTTTTTAATGAGTAAACAATGTCTAATACTGAAATATAAATAGACTGACTACCAGTGTCATTATAGAACGTACTGGCTCATATTTTTAGAATGGTGAATGCATTATTTGTGTGTTCATTTTAATCAATCGTGCACACACAGTACAGGAACACGTTAATGACTGTCACTCATTTACCATGACTGAACATGAAGTAATGGGACATGCATCTTTTCTCCTGGCACACATTTATAAAAATCTGGCCCTCAGTAAAACTGCTAAATTTTCTGACAATACTTTCCCTTTCTATATCACCTTCCTTTTGGGGAGTTGGGACAGGGCAATGTCTTGCAAACTTAAATAAATAAACATCACACACATATTTGTGAGAGCAGCTATTTTTCCAAAGGGGAGACATTCCACAGGAAGTGTGTAGAACAAAGATCCCATATTTGATGTAAAATAATGAATCATATATGGCCCCATGCAATATAGTATTTGAGGCCAGGTCTTTACTACACCTGGAAGGTCCTGCTTTGGGCAAGGGGTTGGATTCGATGACCTCCTCCGGTCTCTTCCAGCCCTAGGATCCTATGATTCTAAGGTCAGCTTACGTAAATAACGTAGCTGGAGTTGACATACCTTAAGCTGACCTTGGTGCTGTCTCCACAGGGTGAAGTTAATGGGAGCATTTGCTCCCATCAACCTCCCTTATTCCTTGTGAATTGAGGAGTACTGGTGTTGTCTGGGGGCATCCTCAATGTTCAATTTAACAGGTAATTACTAGAATTGCTTAATTAAATTCCAGAAGATCGATCTCTGGCATGGTAAGTATAGATGTGGCCTGAATATCTCATATTTTTAAATGTATTTACCTCCATAACATCCCTCAGATATAAAAAGTACAGATGGGCAACTGAGCTTTAAGGTAGGCTAAGTATCTTGTCCATTATCACTGAAGCCAGGTCTACTCTATGGGAGAAAGTCTATCTAAGACACATAACTCCAGTTACAACAATAGTGTAGCTGGAGTCGATGTACCTTAGGTCAAAATGCTGCAGCATTCCCACTGTGGGGGTCGCTAAGAGAAACTCTTCTGTAGACATTACTTTATTCTTCGCAACCCGGTGGAGTAATGGGGTCATCAGGGAAGCAATCAGTGGCTGATTTAGCAGGTCCTTACTAGACCCACTAAATCGAACCCCAGGAGATTGATCTCCACAGTGTCGATCTCCTGGTTACTGAAGACAAGCCTTCCAGTTTGTGGGAGTGCAGGAATTTGAACACAGCTCTTCAAAAACTCTTCAAAACCCTAACCTACTGGACCAGTCTTCCTCTCAATAGGATAGGTAAAAGAGAGCACTGTAACAAGGCCTTTCACGAAGGCCTCTCATCAGTTGTATGAGAGCAATTTGTCCAAGTTACAATAAAACTCCATACCAAAGATTCCCATCCGAATAGTCTCTACTGAGATTCATGCTTTGTGTGTGAAGTGGAATATTCTCTCTCAGAAAGCTTTAACTGGAAACTCACACCTCAGTAACATCTCCTGAATAAGGATTCTAGACATTCAGAGAGGGAGAGGACTGTTTGTGAAAGATGGACAATGTTTAATTCATTGGTACACTCTGCACTTTTACAGATTTGTTTCAGTAGGTTGAGATGGGCAAATACCAGTCCATGGATCTGGTTCACTGGTTAGCCCGTGGTGGGCTGCCACCATTACATTTACCTGATCCTCCACAGGAATGGTCAATAGCAGCTCCTATTGGCCACAGATAGCTCCCATTGGCCAGGAACAGCAATGTGAAGCAGTGTCCCAGTCTGCACTGCTCCCATTATTCAGGAACAGTGATCCATGCCCAATGAGAGCTGCAATTGCCCATACATACAGAGGCACAGGTAAAATATAGTAGCAATGGTGTCCTGCCAGGGATAACGCTGGCAAACTGCAGCCATTTTATTGCCTGCCTCTGCAGTAGGGAGTTCTTATTTTCCTAATTTCAAATCCTCATTAGATCTTTTTGTGGTGAACTGTACATGTAGGGTGTGTCTAGACTGGCAAGATTTTGCACAAAAGCAGCCGCTTTTGCGAAAAACTTGCCAGCTGTCTACACTGGCCACTTGAATTTGTGCAAGAGCAATGACTTTGTAATGTACAAAATCAGTGCTTCTTGCGCAAATACTTTCATGCTCCCGCAAGAATACTTGCGCAAGAGGGCCAGTGTAGACAGGCACCTTAATTTTTTGCGCAAGAAAGCCCGATGGCTAAAATGGCCATCGGAGCTTTCTTGCACAAAAGTGCATCTAGATTGGCACGGATGCTTTTGTGGAAAAGCACTTTTTGTGCAAAAGCATCCTTGCCAATCTAGATACTCTTTTGCAGAAATACTTTTAATGGAAAAACTTTTCTGTTAAAAGTATTTCCGCAAAATCATGCCAGTCTAGACGTAGCCTTAGTGTCTTGCACTATTCTGAAGTGATGTAGCTTACTATCGTTTTTTTAAACAAACAAACAAACAAAGAAACAAATTTTAATTCTATTCAATATTATATTCTGTTCCTATTCGGAGGAAAGTAAGGGCAAGTTTTGTGGCTTTTTGGACTATATTTGAGTTGATTCTAAATGGCCTAAGATTTTCTCAAAGTTCTTTTTTTGCAGAATTCTCTCTGAGAGAAAATGTATGACAGCAATTTGTCATTTTTCATACAAGCAAAAATTTCACAACCAGCAGGATGGATATTCAAGTCTAATCTGACTTCTTAGGCTACAGAATCTCACCTACTAATTTCTGCTTTAGGACCACGACTTTAAGAAAAACATCCAGCACTGACTTAAAAACAGCAAGGGAAAAAGAATCGATAACATCCCTAGGGAATTTTTTAATGGTCATTTATCCTAATTGTTAAAATTTCTACCTATTCCCAGGTTGAATTTGTCTAATTTCAGCTCCAACTACTAGTTCCCATTATATTTTTGTTATTCTGGATCAGTGGTGGGCAACCTGTGGCTTGTGTGGTTCATCAGGGTAACCTGTTGGCAGGCCTCCAAACAGGTTGTTTACTTTGTGTCCACAGGTATAGCCATGCACAGCTTTCATTGGCTGCAGTTCCCTGTTCCCGGCCAATGGCAGGTGCAGGAAGTAGCACTAGCCGTTGGGATTTATAGCTGCTGCTTCCTACAGCTCCTATTGGCTGGGAACGGTGAACCACAGCCATTGGGAGCAGCAAGCAACCTTATCTATGGATGCAAGGTAAACAATCTGTCGGGTGGTCACCAGCGGCTTACCTCAATGAATCTCACGGGGCCTACAGGCTGCAGGTTGTCTACCACTGTTCTAGACTAAAGAGTCCCCTCTGTCAGAAATATCTTTCTTATAAGGATATTTGTAGATCCTGATCAAGTAACTTCTTAACCTTCTCTTGATAAATTAAATGGATTGGGCTTCTTCAGACTCTCACTGTAAAGCCTCTATTCCAAACATAAAGTTAATTTTGTAGCTCTTTTCTGAATCATTTCCAGTTTGTCAGCTTCCTTTCTAACCCTAAAACAGAGGCGAACTCAGGATTGTATTAATGATCTTGCTAATATTGAATACAGAGGTAATACCACTTCCCTATTCTACTCCTGCTTCTTTAGCTGCAGATCACATTTACCCTAGTCGCTACAACATCATATGGGTATACCTTTCCAAGCAATCCAGGTTATTCTGTTAAAGTAATTTTTTATCAGAATATAATGTGGGACCAACAAAAGTTTTAAATACATGAGATGAAACAATTACTTTTATGAAGCAAACCTGCAATCATATAAAAAACACTGTATCAAGTTTATTGGAATTAATTATATTACCATCATTGAATTTTTTTTACTGATTCTGTCCTATATCAGACTTTTCAGGATTTTGCTTGGAGTTGAAGTCAGGCTAACCAATCTACAGTTTCCCAGGTCATCACATTTACTTCTTTAAATACTGGCAAAACATTAGCTTTTTTCCAGTCCTCTGGAATTTTCCCTGTGTTCCAAAATTTGTTTAAAATCAACAATATTAGTTCAGGGAGATTCTTGGCTAATTCTTTTACCACTCTTGGGTTCAAGTTAACTGGTCAGTTCTGTAGGGCATGCTACAAATTTGGTTGCTATATTCTTAAAGCTTTTTAAAATGCCTTTATGTGTTTTTTTACCTGCTATTCCCATCCTATCCCAATCTGGGCATTAAAAGGAAATCTATTTTATTGATATCACAGGTATCTTTTAGGTTTATTCTTCTCTTAAATGTCGTTCATGATGTCTACATTTAAATTTGAATTACATTTTTGAAGGGTGCATGAATACTTGACAATTGTCATTTTATAAATAGCATATTGACTGCACTTGCACACTTATTATATGTTTTCTCAGGCAGTCCAGAATCAATTTCCATGTGTACTTAGAATTTTTTGTATGCTTCAGTACTGAAGCCAGTTAATGCATTGTTTTGGGGGGTTTGTTTCCCATTACACAAAGTCATTCAAGGGACGCTTGATTTCAGTTGGAATTTGGATGGACTTTGATTAATGATCTGAAGCTGGATGGGTAAATACCTCCCTCCCCTACAGAGCTGAGGATGGATGGATTGTCTGCCTCCATGGTGGTGCACTGAGTTAATGATTTCTGAAAGGGGGAATGAATGAGTTTGTTTATAGTCCTTACATAACCAAACATCTGGCCTCTGTTGTTAGTATGTGTTTTAAATTTAAATTTCAGAAAAGT